GTAAAGTGAAGTTGTTGAGAAATGAAGAGCGAGAGGGACTGATTCGAACACGTACAATTGGTGCACAGCACGCGCGAGGTGATGTGGTCATCTTTCTGGATGCGCATTGCGAAGTAAATATCAATTGGTTACCTCCGTTATTGGCTCCGATCAAGCATAATCGGTTAGTTTTAGATTGTTTTCTGTGGCCTATACAAGATATGTTCCATTGATAGTAGAACGGTATCAATTTATTGAGGAATGTAATTTGTTTGGATAAAGATTTTTAATCATTACTTCATGAAGAAAGATGATTTGTGATTGATTGAAAGTTGAAATAAAGGTGGAATATGTATTCTGCATTAGAGGCAGTATTGTTGAGTAAATTTGGTCGATGATGATGTTTTTGAGTTAGTAAGCGAATGGATTTTTTTCTCAAATTTTTTTCTTATTTAGGAAAGTAATGACCGTGCCAGTAATTGATGGAATCGATATGAATACATGGGAGTACAAACGTGTTTACGGTGCTGCCGATGTGCATTTCAGGTTGGTAAGATAAAGCAATTTTATGATGAGTATGGAAATTGTTCATGATTCTGTTCAAGTGAATTTATGGTTACAAAATGATTTTGTTAGTTTCAAACGGGCAAATTGAAAGTATTGATGAAGAGATTCACTTGGTTCTCACTTATCGTGTTTTATGGTTTGTGATAAAAATTTAGCGATTTTGAATATTTCTTCCAAGTCGGTGTTATGAAGGTAAATGAGATTAATTCTATTGATGCTTAATCGAACTGAAATAGTTATAGAGGTATTTTTGAATGGGGTCTTCTTTATAAGGAAACAGAAATAACGAAAGAGGAAGCACAACGTCGTAAATACAACAGTGAACCATTCAGGTGAGTTTTTGAAATTTTTTTTGTAATTGATCCTCATTTGCGATGGAATTTTTCTTATCTGTCTCATTCGTTCTGATGAGGATGTGATGTTGGACCACTGAGGCGATGGTGTGAATAACCAGTTAGTAACTAACCAATTGCAGATCACCGACACATGCTGGAGGTTTGTTCGCTATTAGTAACAAATGGTTCGAAGAGCTAGGTTATTACGATGCAGGTCTGCAAATTTGGGGTGGTGAACAATATGAACTCTCTTTTAAGGTATGTTTTCTTCTTGATTCAG